CGGGCGTAACTATCATTGAATTAATTTGACTACATTTAGCCAGGAACTTTTTTTTATGGAAATTGTTGTTGTAAAATATATATGTAGTAAACCAAATTGTGATTATGTATATTTAAGCTATGTTCGATATATGATGATGATTGGTAATATCTTCTCGTTATTGCGTAACAGAAAATAATGATAGAATTCTGGTGTCGTATAACTTTACGTGTTATTTAGTACGCCTTCGATGAAAACAAGGCATGATGCTTATTGTTTTTGTACAAAAAATCACGTATTGTAGGATGGTTAAGCTATTTTAACTAATCGTAGTGACAAGTAGAACACTTACAATCTATAAGTTTAATAAAAACGATTTTATTATTATTGTTTATATAGTTTCAATGTGTGAAACTTTGTATTCTTATTAGTATTAGAACTTGAAATCAATAGAATCAAAACAAATGCTAACATAAACATGAGTATAAGTAGTTTGATTATTTAACTTTAACACAAATAAAAATTAAATAATTCAATTTCTACGTAGTTGCTAAGTCGTTTTAATATTTATTTTTAACGTCCTCAGTTCAGTGGAAACGCATCTTTACGCAATACAGCAAACTACGCTTTTTAGACAGAGAGTGCAATTTCACGATTAATTCAATATTTGATATTATTGCAGAAGTCATGTTTCATTTAATAAGTCTTTAAATAAATATAGTTTGTTTCGTCTTCTTTGCAAAATTTTAAAAATGTCATAAAGTTGCAGTTTTTTTACTCAACAACTTTTAAGGTAGGTATTTGACATTACGCTACAGCGGAGAAGTGATGGAGTAGCTTAATCGAGAAAATTGTAGTTAAAATCTAATCTTATAATCTTAAAGAAAGCTGTTTTTTTTTTTGGTTTAGTTGGCGTTGCATGAGTTTCAGCACTTTAATTTAAAAAAACGCTGTTCTGTCTTACTTTCACGTTGTTGTAGCCTTATTAATAGTTTAATGAATACGAATCTGTACTAACTTACCTACTAGTTATGCCTGTATCATAAAAGAGGAAGGCAGAGGAAGCTCATTGAGCATGTGCCCCCGTCCTGTTATACGGCGGGGGAGTGGGAGGGGGGCCCTGTTTGGACTCCGGTTACCTCACTCACTTGGTGATAAGAACTGCTTAACACCGGTTTTCTGTGAGGCCGATTATGCCGAGGCATGCCTCTCAGACGGAAGGAGGTAAGAAGAGAAGGCTATGTAAGAAATCGATTTGGGTGAAACTAAATAGCTGATAAGCCCTCTCTTATATCTATTTTGTTTTTAGAAACTTGTTTTAATTCAGCAAAATAAGTTTCTGATTGCAGGAATTGATATTAAGTTTAAGGTGCAAAGAGCATCATAAGTCGTGCATATAATGTGATTTATTTATTATTGTATGCCACTATCTTCTGTTAAAGTTTATCTTATTTAGTCATTGGAGGATTTCTTAATGTTAGGAATGATTAATACATCTGTTGTAGATTCAAAACCAAACATTCAACATGGCGTGGCGAAAGAAGTGAATGCCCCTTTTTAAAATAAGTCAGTAATTCTAAGTATGTTTAAATTAACATAAGACCCCTAATAATAAATAAAAAACATTTATTAATCAAAGGTATTATCTTCGAATCTTAATATGAACATATGGTTTTATAATATGAATGCCGAACGAATACGTTTCATTTACATATTTAAAAAGCACAAGAAACAAATGCCAAACTGAAATTATTTGCTGTCAAATTATATTATTTGGGGACAAATCATAGTTTTGTTCAAATTCCAAAAACTTAAGATTTATAGCTAATAATCCTAACACTTAGGTAATATTATTGGTTAATCTTTAAACCTTGGCATAACTTTAAAAGTTTTATGTAAAGGAATACGTCTTCTGGTAAAGTGGCAATTTGTCTCGTACTTGCTTGCTCATACTCTATCTCAAAAATATATTCAAAAAGAATAATAATGAAAGCTGTTTCATTATCAATGGGAAACAACTTCGGTGAGCCTTGTAGCTTGTTTGTGGTTTGATAGTAGGTGTGTCTTAGGGCTATGTAAGACAACACGTATGACCTCAGATTATATAGTTAGAAAGTATATTTTATTCAAAACAACGTTCAAGTTCAAAGTGATGGAGATGAATGTTCAATTATATCGGAAAACTGACTTAGCAAACGAATCTTGTTTTCATGCTGTATCGTAAAAGCATGTTCAATAATAATAAAATGAGGATCTATTATTATTATCGATGGAAAATGACATGCAACGAGCCTTGTACCTGCGAGGATTGGTGGCGTGTCTTTGGTCTACATCGGAATATAAACACGTTGACCACGGGTTATTTCGTAAGAACGCATCTATATGATTTTACATTATTCTGTTGTAGAACAAAGAAGGCAAAGCTTTATTGATTTAAATTTACGAGAAACTACTTCGGTTAATTGTTTTCAATCCTCCTAACTATATTATAAATGCGATTGTGGGTTAGTTTGTTAGATCATAATACCTAAATTACTCTACTAATCTCCATGGAAGTTTGCATTAACGTCGTCAGGGGAACAGAAAAGTGGTTATTATTTTTCTCCCAGAAAAAGTACGGTTCAAGATGGATAACTGAATTGATAGACAAAGTCCACATAAATACGGGTGGGCAAAAGACATTTATACGGCTGGTAAAAAAATATTAAAATTAATAGATGTTCAGTTTTTCATGAGTATTCTTGATCGGATTTCAAACAAAATGACCGTCACACTATAAATCTTCACGTATTTGAAACACAAGCTAATGAAATTTAAAAAAGAAACAGGGACGAAAAGCCGCAAAAAGTTACCGTCACAATTTTTAGACTTATTGGTTCGAGCATTTATGACCAAACGTAAATTTTGTAGAAATTTAGAGGCATACAGCCGATTTTTGTTTTACTCTTTGTATGTACTAAAAACGTAAGATTTGGAGAAACGGATGTGATGTGCGTAGATAAATTCTGGTAGAATACAAGAGATTCATGATTTTCTTATCTTTGTTTAAACTGGGAGTGCAAGATACGTATTCATATAACATAGTTACAAACCCTTCAAATCAAGAAGAAACAAGAAGAAAAGGTTAAATTAATTGTGCTATTTAATACAAAAGTTATTCTGTTCTGTGGTTGTTAGCATTTAATATATTTCAAGATCAGTTTTAACCCATCCTGGGTTAGTCCATCCCTATGCTAATGCTACGTATCTTTTTCCTACTTTTTACTAGTTAACACTGTTTGAATATTCATACATTCATTATGTGGATCTGTAAAGCAGCGTCCACACTATGCCGGAGTATGCCGGGCGAGGCCGGGCGGGCTGACCCGGGCGGCCTAAGCCGGGCGGGTTCGTTCGGGCCGGCACGACGTCCACACCGAAAACGAGGCCGCCCGGGTTATATCTACCTATTAGTTTCCATTCGACACCAAGACTGGACAACTAAAGCCGCCCGGTGCCGCTCGGCACGTCCCCACTACATATTTTCGTTCGGCTCGGGCCGGCATCCTTTGATCTGTACCTACTTTCTGCGGGTTGGGATCGGCTCGGCTCGGGCCGGCTTTTTAAGCCGCCCGGGGCGTCCACACCAACCCGGCTTAGGCCGCCCGGGTCAGCCCGCTCGGCCTCGCCCGGCATAGTGTGGACGCTGCTTAATAAAGTATTAAAAGGGCCCTTAAACAAACCTAAATACACCAGTAATTAATATAATATTCCTACAACGTTATACCTACTTGCTAAGGGGTGATTTCGATGCACAGAGGCATGACCTCGTTGCGGGCCGTGATTGCGGGCATGGTGCCTACGGAGCGAGAGCGCGTGGTACTCCACTCTCTCCTTCTGTGAGCAAGTTATGCTTGCGAAGGAGACGGCGGGGTGGGCCCCGGAGAGATTTAGAACTGGCCCGGAAACGGGCCAGGTATCACACAGAAGCAACAGTTTTCCCGAAAAACTCATGAAGAGTGAAATAATCCGTTTAATATGTATAATTTTCAAGAAATGTTGTTGTTGTTAAAACACAACACCGGCTATCGAGATGATTTTTGTGCCACAAATAGTACTAATGAACATTCAATTATTTGGTGTAAGTTATAACTCTTATGTTTACAATGAGTATCTATCAATAATAGACAGTATATTTTTATACATTTCTATTTGAGGTTTCGCTCGGTAGTTGATGATACTTTCTTCGAATGAATGAATGAGACCATATGTACATATGTTTTTGTAGTCCTGATAACATGTTTGCAACATTTTATCGTTTGGACGAAATCTTACGTTCAAATGCGTAGCAAACAAATAAACTTTACATTCGTATCTCTTACATTTGCTAGAATTTGACATAGGTCAAATTGTTTTTTTAACTGAATATGATATTAATTGTTACTCACAAACATAAAATAGTTATTTTGGCCCAGAATATAATAAATATAGCTTTTGAAACAACTGATCCCCGGATACATCTTAAGTGTGGAGTTAAGAGTCCTTGAATCCCAAAAAAATACCCCACACAATTTGTCCGAGTTTTGAAAAGAACTTGAAACTAAAGTCCTTCTTGTAATAGAAAGATGGATTCTTAAAAAATCACATTTCTGACCATGTCGAAAGTGCCTTAAGTGAGGGTTAAGGCACTTTCTATATAATATTTGATAACTTGGTTTACTTACTGCACGTTTATTTTAAGTACAGTATGGAACTAGTAGATACAGCAATGGAAATGAAGTAAGTTCTATGATAGTTCATAATAGCCAGGAAGGGCTGGACCCATACAGTCTCTTTCTTCGAATAGAGATATGTACATGTATTCCTTCATTCAACAATTCATAAATCAATTCAACCGCAAAGAAAACAACAGAGCAGTAATTTCTGGACATAATTATTCGCGTAATAAATATAATCAAAATCAAATATTAGAACTTATAACTTGGGTATAGTAAGAACGATGTACAAAGCAAACTAATTATCTAAAAGCTATCAAGACTCACCTCGTTATCTTAAGTTGCTGCCGAAGACCGATAAAAGTGTAAAAGAGTCCCGAAAGCGAACCACTTTATCATAAAACCAACACTTAACAGTCCTGTGTAGCTTGCTTATCGCAATTTTTATTACACTAGCACGGGCAAGGAGCTGACGCGTTCAAAAACATAAAATTTCAAGATAAGAACGTTTTGTTTCTTTATCGTTTATGCGTCCGCACTGCGCGACGATCGGGGACGGAATGCGTTATGTGACGGGCGGGTGACACTTGACTTGCGCCTGCGACTGTATACCTCTACTACGTTACTTAGGTTTTAGTTTTAGATCGCCAATGTCTAACTTTAATTTTATTAGTGATCGATTCTAAGGTTTTAAATAAAGGATCATTTTTCTTTTAAAATGCACCTCTAAATTTACCATTTACAATGTTAATATCAGGTTATTCTTAGATAATAATACAATCAATAGCTTTATCTTCTGACTTACTTGAAGTAATAAACAGGCTGATTATCTATTAAAGTGATGAAATTATCAACAACTCATTTCGCGTTAAACCAATAAGTTCTGATATTGCCTTTGCGTACTCGCTTTCTATAAAGTAAATGGTTTAAAAAAATATTGAAAAAAACATTATTTTAAGTTCCCGAATTGTGTTTATCGAATTGTCTTTTGAATCTAGACAGTTTATAAAGTTATGAAAAAAGTTATAAGATAATACAATCTAAAAAATAATGATTTACAGTATTAGCAACTAGACTACAACTACAACTACAACTGCTAATAAACAATTATACATTGAATTAATTACAAGCCAAGGTTACGAAAGTGAAATGAAATACAAATCCTTTAGTCACGATCACACGTGATTCGTGAATACATTGGTCCAGGCGCTTAAGACTCATAGAGAATTTAAGAGCTTTTTTAGAGACGGTTGACGTCGGTACACTTTCAATGATTATGTTTGCGGACGAATAGGAGCCTAAACTGACACATGTTTGACATTCGAGACGTACATTTTTTGAAATGTGTGACTGTAATGATAATGACCTTTTTGAAAAAAGGTGTGAGGTAGCTTCTACTATACCTAATCGTTTCTGAACTGTAAATAGTTTTATTTTAGCTTCAACTATTACTGACAGTTAATATCGTTAAAAATAACGTTAAAAGTAGCAGAAGCAGGTGCATAATAAATTCACAACAGGAACGCAGTGTGACAGTACACTATATATCAGGGATTTTGAGCAAAAGACCCCCTTCTAAAATGAACTGATACCTCAGACCCCCTAGGCTAAATTACTGCAAGCTTATCGACTTGTTGAGTTTTTCAAAAGTACAACAATGATACTTCTTACTAAAATATTAGTCATTCTTATAACAAATTGGTATACGTACTTATAACAACTAATGAGTATACAGTATCTTGAAAGTTTAAAATTAATTCAAACAAGAGCTTGTGTTTAACAATAGGGCTCGATTTTTAGACCTTGTCTACGTCCAAAATCAGTTTTCGTTCATGTCGACCCCTAAGAAACTGATTTCGACCACAAGGGGTCGATATAGACCACTTTGGGAATACCTGCTGTATATAATTATTAAATTCAGGTTTTACTAAAACCTAAATTTAATAATGACAGGCCTTTGACACTCCTGATAAGGCGGTAATAATATTATTACCTACTATGTTTATTTATTACTATATTTAATACCTATTGATGTTGAAACTGATGTTTCAACATTTTAATCGAGTTTTAAGACGTTACTTGAACAAATAGATAAGGCTCTAAAAGAATCATATTGTGGGCTGTTACCTTAAAAAAAATCGTGATACAAATCAATACATCTAATACCGCATTGCAATCCGTTTAATATTTCTCACGATTAGAACCACCAAACATACAAATACACAAGCAGCGGATTTGTTTATTACCCCGCAAATTATAATTCTACGATACAATAATTTAAATAGAAAAAAAACTGTATGCGACAAAAAATTAAAATTCTTTTTAGGGACTCGTGTCTTTTTAGGGTCCATTAACTTTTGCCCTTGGCTATGCTCTCGTAAAAGTAATTCCTGTGGAAAAGGTACCCTAATTTCTTTTCCGTATCACTTGCAACGTGAACGCATATTTCCAAGACAATTCCAGCAGATACAAATTAGAGATAAAAACGAATACACATTGATTTTAATACTTAAGCTTTGTGTAGATATATTTGTTTATACAGGGCACGGGCACAGGTAACTTAAGCGATAGAAAAACGTCAGTTAAGTCAACAGAAGTTTAGTGGTAGGAGCCATGTTTGGTTTAGTCAGCGTTCAGTAAACGAGTGCGGAGCTCAACGGCTATGTGTACTTTGTGTACCTATATCCACGTGTGAAACACACACATAGGTCCCACACACGTATGTCCCCACACACTGGTATTTTTCTGTACATTCACGTTGTACGTGTTGTACGTTATTGCGAGACTTGTGAGACATTTTCGTTTGTGAGCACTTCCTCTGTAGTGAGATATCCAATGACAATTCGAAGGGACCGTTTGAAGGTAAAGGTTTTATACAGGATATATTTCTAGTTGTCTTTTAAAAGAGAAGAAAAAAAAATGTTTGCAATCTAGCGGATGTAAAAATTAAGTGATAAGCTTATGTGAATGACTTATGGAAGCTGCCAATAATTATTAACATGCATTTTGTTATTTTAATATATTTTAATGTATTTAAATCACACAGAAACTGTGATTAACACCATCCACGTGGTGACGGATTAAGAATACGGAATGTGACCACTCCTATTCATCCTGTAGGTGTCGTAAAAGCCGTACTGAGAAAGAAAATTACGCAGGACAGCATCACTGCAAATAGAAGGAAAACTTGACACAAACCCTATAACAACCCGTCTGGCCAGCGTGGCATAGTAGGCCAAAACCTCCTTTCTAAGAGCAACACAGCCCTGTTTGGTCAATAATCAAAGTATGCCATAAAGATATTGTAATAATCATTAAAACTTTAAATTCAGACGGTTAATGTTATAAAAAATCTATATAAATAAAGAAAAGTGAAGCATTTTATGTCATAATAACAGCTATTTACTGAATGCATTTACCTTTCGATACGATTATTAAAGGAAACAAATAAAGTTACAAAAATGTATCTAGGTTCAATAAATCAACTATGTCACTTCCCTCGCTCTGTCAATAATTAGAGATGTTTGACAAAGAAGTGATATTTTAATTTAGACATGAGTCATGGCGTGTTATTAATGTAGGAAGTTTATTTTGTTACTAATTGATGTCAAATATTATCGGAATGATAAATGCCTTATGCCTTGCTTGCTTATTATTACGACCTATAATAGTGAATAGCAAATGTCAGTAATAATTAACGTGGAAGAGTCACGCTTCAGCACAAAAAGGGCCCGGTTCGAATCTATTTTTTTAGTTGCTTTTTATCCCTTCGGTCCGGTCGGACCCCTTTGGTCCGACGAGTACGTAGCCGGTACGCAGATTATTAAACGGTTACATTTTGCAAACTATTTTTTTAATCCCACTTACACTATGGGGGCAACACTATTGCCGTTATCTGGACACTAAATTGGGAGTAAATTAAATCTTCAGGCATCAAACTCAAACATCTTTATTTTATAAATAAATTAAAATTATTTAAAATCTTCTCTTGTGTACTCTAAAGTCATAGATCACCACATGCTATAGCAACAATCTCTGTTTTGTCAAATATTTAGCAAACTAAATATATACGTATCGATATTCTCTTGTATGCCTGTGTCGACCTACAACCGCCCATTTCCAAGGGGTTGAGCCTCATGTAAAGAAAGGGCAAACAAACTCACGGCCACTCTTTTTTAATCAACAGATAACAATGGCATTATTAAATACACACAACATTGTTTTGATGTTCAGTATGTAAGTTTTAGGGACTAAAAGGTAAAAAGGCAATGAAGAGAAAACAAGATATAAAAATAAGATGGAATAAAAAAGAAAGTGAAGTAAAACATAAAAATATTGGAAAATAAAATAAAATGATATCTTTACTAATGTATACTAATGTTATATAGATGAAGACTTTGATTGAACGCGCTTATCTGAGAAAGAAACTACTGGTTTGAATTGGAAAATTATTTTAGTGTCATTATCATCATCATCAACAGCCTTTAATAGTCCACTGCTAGACATAAGTCACCACACGGACATTTTAGTGTAGGATAGCCCATTTATCGAGAAAGGCACACGCTACGACTACGAAAAATGTTTCAAAACGGGCACAAAAAATATATTCCTTTTGAGAGACGCACACAAAGTTGCATGGGTAAGCGGTCGCCACGCCGTGAGTGTTGTGGATCCGATCCCAACAAGGGACGACAATTTGTGTAATCCACAAATTGTTGTTTTGAGTCTGAGTGTTTTTGTGTCTGTTTCATGTATGTTTGTGATGTCCTCCGTGACACAGGATATATTCCTAATGCGGGATTGTCTTTTAAAAAAATATATGAAAACAGCTACATTTATTCGATATGATAAAATTACTGTTAGTGGTATTATTTTTATTTAAAAGGATGTGACGATAGTAAAGTATGACGTCACAAGTTAGTATTTTATACAAATATCAATGGTGTACGGTTATGACGATTAATAACAAAAATCTTCAGTCAACTACTTTATACACGAGCTAGTCTTGCCATGTTAAAATATCTTTGTTCTACTTAATCTCCATTTTAGAGATAGCAGGACACTGCTATATAATATATATGTATGTAATGAACCTATTTGTCGAACATGTACCACAAAACTTCAATGCAGCGGGATTATCGCTTGCAGTTTATTAGCTGAAGTTCAACAGTTATCGTCATGAGATTACTCCGTGTCCTCTGTCGACCTTGCGCCCGGAGGTCCCGGAGTGATCTTTGAGTGATGGATCGAAGGCACAAATTATTTTTACTCATTGCTATGAATCAGATTGCAGACGGTACTTTTCCATGTAAATTTCGATGCTTTATTTATTTTGATGTTTAGAGAAGTGATATAAGTTAATGGTCCGGAATAATCCGGACAAGTGTAAGTCAGACTCGCCTTCCGTGAGTTCCGTACAAATTTGTAGGTACATATAATAAATAGTTCAGGAATCGAGTCTCGCAGTTTAAAAAAAATAAAATTGTACCGCGATGATGGATTACGTACTTTAAATAAAGACTAAATTTTTTATGATTTAATTACAAATGTATAGTTTTCAGTTTTTTCTCTATACTTCATAGTTCTAGGTCATTACTTTCTATTGGAAGTTATTTATTTTAATATATAAATTTTGATTCCCTTGAGTTACTTTCATGCGTTTCCTAGATAAAGGGTCTTGACAAACAGACAGACGGAAAACAAGGTGATCCTATAAGGGTTCCGTTTATTCATTTTGAGGTACGCAACCTTAAAAAGTGAAAGATCAAAAAAGTCCAAGGGTAATAGGACTACTAATATATGTTGTCTTGCTGTTTCATATTCAAATAAGCAAAAACGAGGTAAACTAAACATTGTATCTTCATTTCTTATTGAAATAGAAATACGTGTAGTTTGAACAACATAACTTATTGGAAACTGACTTTGCATTGTCAATAGTGCTAGCGGTTAATATTTGGTTTCGTATTAAGAAACAATTTCAAATAAAATAATATTAGTATAAATTACCATTTACATTCACTAAATTCTATACTTAAAAGAAATATAGAATTTAGATTTATCGTTCGAAGGACCATTTTTTTTGGGTTTCTATTTTTTTTATTATTATAAAGTTTGTGGCGTAGTTTTTTAAGCCATAGCAGCGCCTTTAGCAATCAATATATTTACATAAAAATGCAACACATTGCGTGCGATATTTTGTCAGTCGTTAAAAAATTTCTTAAGCTTAAGTTATATATATTTTATGTAGTTCATACGTTAATAGTAGATAATCAATAATATATGTAAACTGATAAATGCTTTTAACCTAATTACTTAAATCTTAGTTAGTATTAAAAAACTTACCAAATACCAGTTTCTAAAACTAAGTCGACAGTCTCGGGCAGTTCTAACCGGAAACCTGAAATTAAGGAATAAAGTTGTATAAATCAGTCTGAAATCAAACATTAAAACTAAGTACTTAATGATTTTACACATTTAAATGCGTCTAATTTTCTTAATTACGTTCGCTTTGAGATTTTTTAAAAGCGTGTTAAGTTATAATAAGTCTTAAAGTTCCGTACAAATCTAATTTAACATCAAGGTTAGTTAATGGGAAATTAATAACTTAGTTGCAAATTTAACACATGACTCTTTGAATAGTAAGTAAGGTTTAAGTTAAGATTTTTGAACGGGTTTTTAGAGAAAAATATTAATGTAGCTGGTATCACCCAGCGCCCTCTAGCTAACATACGCCACATTTGTCACGATTTTGACAACTTTGTAGTTCCAGATACAGAAAGAGTACTGCATTTTTCAATTAAGTTTCAAAACCACGACATAGCCGATGGCAGATGGTTATGTCATGCTTCAAAACCCTGGGTATTGTTAATTAATCTCCTATTTTAGCAGAAATTTTACCTTTTCGTTCTATCTTCTCATTAAGAATAAAAAAGGAATCTTGTAATATTTCATAGCAGTGTTCTGAATCTTACCGTCTGATATTATCCTTTGTATGATGCTGGACATATCTTTAACTTCTGCAGCGTAGAAATTCTCCCCGCTGTACGGAGTTATACCTAAATCTGATTAAATGGATAAGGAGTTTTTAATAATTATAAATTGGTTTTCAAAATCAATATTTTAGAAATATACCCGTTACAAATTAGGTCAAGCAAATACTTTAGACCTAAGTAATAAAGTTCATTCATTTAAGTACGAGTAGAAATAACTTTTTATCTATTCAAACTTGTGTTTAAACGTCCGTAAAAGAAAAAGGATTACCTAAGCAAGAATTAAACATAATTTTCATACAATCCGTATCAAAATGTCCGACCGAAGCTTATCGTATCCAGAATTGTGGATTCTATTTCGCAAACTGGCAAATCACAGCATAGGCACTGTGATAAAACTTCTAGTCATCTGCGTCTAATAGCAAATAATAAAAATTCAAAGGAATTTTGTAAATATTCAACCCCTTCAACCCATGAAGTATTTTCTATTCGATTATATAAACTAAATATTATTATGCTCTTTAAATTCTTAAACATTACCTTTCAAATATTTGATCATAAACCAACTCTTAAGTAACTTATAATTTATTTACCTACTCGATACAGAGATGCCCAAAAATTGTTTTGTAACGATATATCGAATTGTAATCACATTGGATGCGTTTAAATCTTTATATTATCTCTTAGGATTTTATTATCTCTCGTAGTAGATAAACAATGTGTTCATTAGCACTGGTTATCATCCTTTTGTTATGATGTAAGTAAATGGAATCTTAAAATTATGAACGAATAAAACACTGCGTTAATGCGATATTTTTGTAGAAGTTCAATATGACGAAGCGTATTGTTCGGATAAAATATCGCCTTTTTTATATACATATAAATCTTAAGTTGGTTTGCGTACGCTTTAAAAACTTAAAAATTCCGGTACCTCACATTTTGACACGCTAAACAACCCGCTTCAAAGATTGTTTTTATCCATTTTTCTGAAAAATATTGTTCCTCATATCTCATCAAAGCAACCACAATGTGCCACAACTGATTAGAGATGTTATTTTTTTTAAAGACAACTCGCCCTAATCCGCACTAGGTATCTTGTGTCACAGGGGACCTTACAAACATTTTCTTAGATCTATACCCATTAGGTATATAACTTTCAGTGTGTATTTAAAAAGGATACAATTGAGCATATCCAAGAGTGATGTGGGATGATCTGGTGGGGGCGGTGGAGGAGGCGCATGGGGCCGTGGCCCAGCCACGGCGCGGAGCGTGTATGCACGGACATACTCCTTGCGCAGGTCGTGGAATCGGGCGTAGTATGTTGGCAGCGAGAGCTCTTTGCTGCAAGCTTCTGGGTGGAGACATTGCCTGGAAGAAGAGAAGAAACAGTGTTAGTGAGACTCATATTTACAACACGTGTGCTCGTGCGCTCAATGCGGTGTCCGATCATGTTGACGTTTTTTCGTGTTCACTTAATGATTATACAAAGGCCATATAGTAGTAATGGAGGCTAGAAGTAGTGAAGTCACGTGCGAGCATATTTTAGATATCCCTGACTAGTTTCGGATTCGGACCTTAAAGGGGCCCTGGTAACATTGCAGCGGCTCGCTTACAAAACCGTACCTACCTACATCTTTAACTTCCAACTAGGCTTAAATTTTAGTGAAACTTGGGAAATGGTAATGCAGTATCGTATTTATGTCATAAATTTGATCCAAAACTATCCAGCTAGTTCAGAATAGGGGAGTACCAAACATACTAAATTATAAATGCATACACTCACAAACTTATGCATGTATAATATCAGTGGGGATGAGCCAATAAATATTCTATTTTAAATATGAATTGATTTTTATGTATTTGAATAAAACCGTAATTGCATTATCATATTATCGTATATTCCGATCAATAGATTTCCAAGCGTTTCTCATGGTATGAATTGGTGACCTCAAACCTTTCCTAGAAACATGGTGAATGTTCACAGCGCTGTGTTTAGTGACACAAATTATGCATGAATGCACTTAACATACGTTCGGTTCGTTGCCATTGCCAAAGACGATACGCCATTGGACGAAAACTAGCAGAAGAGATCGTCTATGTAAGTACCTTAATTACTGTTTCTTTTTTTAATAAAATAATTAAAAATACCTGCAGTGAAGTTTTAATTAGGGAGCATTTATTATTAATATTAATTACGTGAGCTGTTTTTTTTATTGGCACTACTCTTACCCCTACTTTTTTTACCACCCACCGGTGGGGTGGGGTGGTTACTCGTATATCGCAATCGAACCGACTAAACATCGCACGCCGTGTCGCGTACCAGTGGCCGGGGAACCAGGTGTCCACTATAAAGAATACTAATATTATAAAGCTGAAGAGTTTGTTTGTTTGTTTGAACGCGCTTATCTCAGGATTTACTGGTCCGATTTGAAAAATTCTTTCAGTGTTAGATAGCCCATTTATCGAGGAAGGCTATAGGCTATATATCATCACGATAAGACCAAAAGGAGCGGAGCACCAATGAAGAATGTTTCAAAAACGGAGAAAATTTATTACTATTGAGAGACGCAGACGAAGTTGCGCGGGTCAGCTAGTAAAGAATATGCCTGGTACCCCGACGTACCTCGGGTCACCTACACACACACGCGTACACACACTCACGTCTTTATCGCCGGAGGGGAGACAGAGGCAAATTATACGCCCACATTTTGCCGAATACAATTTTAAACTTATAAAAAACAACTGATAAAAAGATTAAGTATATTACCGTAAGCTAATATAATACAATATTGAAATGAACTAATAGAATGAAATAATATGATAAAATAGATGTGAGATTTCCAATTTAGGATCCTTAAATATAACAAACCTCTCCTCTCTTTGAGCTCATGTAATTACTGGATGCCCCCAATGGTCCCCCGATTGTGGAAAAGAGACATAAGTTACACAATAATGCTATGATTTTAGGGTAGGGTCACCGAAGCTCAACGACAAGGAGGGCTGCGCTAACAGTGTAAGAATTAATTTAAAAAAATATGAAATCTATTATTTGACAGGCCTGTCGGTCTAGTGGTTAGTGACCTTGAGTGAGTAGGTTCGATTCTCTTCTAAGACCAATTGTGTGATGAGCACGATCATTTGTTGTGTCTGGATGTAACTCATCTATAATATGTATGTATTTAGAAATTTATCAGTATGTTTATCAGCAGTCTGGTTACCATGGTACCTACAGGCTTTGATCAGTTTGAGATCAGATGGCCGTGTGGGGCTATGTCTGCCTCCGAGCCTTTTCCCCAAACCAGGTTAGGGTCGGGTTAAAGTCTACTACGATACGGCTAAACTTGGATTTTTTACACAGAGCGACTGCCTTTAGACCTCCACTGGGCTATATCGAAGTGTGTGAGATGTGTATAGTTTTTATTATTAATATTATCGCCATGTTGGCTTGTTTTTGTTTATGAAAGTTAGTTGTATGTTATAAAGCAAGTATGCAACATGTTTATATGTGTACAGCTGTCTTAGCTCAACTGATGGTAATCATTTGGCGACCTACATGTTAATCATCTCTACAAAGACACATGAACATGTTATTCATATTAACATTATTCTTTTAAAATATTTATGTTTTTATTATAATGGAATTATACTCAACCAGCTGAACAGAGCAATTTAGTTTGCGGCTCTCAAAAGGAACAAATTTTCCTCGTCCGTAATGCCGAATGAATTATAGCTGTATAGCCATATAGTCGAGGGCTGGATTTTGTTCAGTGCAAATATTATTCTACGTATATATTTACAACCAAATGTAGCTATGCATGATCATCTGTGTTACAAAACTCATATTAAGTTCTGCTTAATTTAGATTTAAATGCGATGTGTCATTTGTCCAACACTATTATTATTTTTAAATTAGTCATTATCATATTTGTTTAAAAATATGAAAAATAGTATACCGCTAGTATAGGGAAGGAGCCAGATTCAGCAATAACACTATTATTGTTACATAATTTGGTGGATCCAAATTCTCTCATGACCACGTGAAATTTATAGCTAATACTTATATTGTTTCCATAGGATTTCATTAAATTCGGAGTCTGACAATTATTATGTGTTAGCCGTATATGTGTTAGCAGGTGAAGATAAATAATATCTCCCTCCTAATCGTACAGATTACAGACGTCACCTATTTACCTAGAGCTCAAAGTACATTTGATAATTTAATTAGTATCATTTTCCAACGCATATCTTAGAGATTAGTGACATCAGCAATTGGCCTACACTTCAAAGCATAATCAATTAGATTTTTCATCAAAAATCGAGAAGATCAGAAGATAGAGGGCTCGGTTCTTTCAGCAACAGCCAGTTTGAGATACAGGTATGCGATTCTGAAGGGCTCGAGCTATTGCTATTACAGTCCCCAAACTATCCGTAAAATATCGAAGGGATGGGTCAAAATTCGTTCTTTTTCATTCTTTATTTTTCTGCGTCATTTTCCTTCTGTAGAGATATAATTCACCGTTGGTAATTGTATCAAAATACTTAAATGAATTAATTAAACTCATGACATCTTTAAATATTATTCAGTTTATTTTCAAATATTATTTTATATTTTTAAAGATTATTATGTTACGGACACTGACGAAAAGTAAAAAGAGCAAACAATTACCCGGAATTCCCTTTCATATTATTAGCTACCTTCTTTACTTACCTACCTTCAACTTTATTTTACTATAAATTTTCTAATTTAAAGTATAGCCTTTAGTGCTGGCAATGCTTTTGCTCCTTATTTTGAAAGTAAGACTAAGAGTATGGTGGGACAGAAAGGCCTCTGTCCCTATAGGCATATAGACGTTTATAGCGTAATAGTATTTATTTATTTACATACACCTAAATAAAGCTCACAGTTTATTTCACAAATAAATAAATTTTGCTACCAAAAAGTCACTAATTCGTAGAGTTCAAATTACTAAGTCGTAGAGTTCAAATTACACTTGATAATTTAATTAATTTGCTTTTACAACGCTTATCGAAAGATAATCTAGGTCACTAATTTACCTTGAGTTCAAAGTAGATTTGACAGTTTAATTAGGTATTTGATTTCCCGCATAGCATATTATATAGGTAACGTATAAATAATTATTTAATTATTCTGATTTAAACCTACCCCATCCCCGCCAGCATTCATTGTCATGCTCGCGCGTTGACGAGAACTGGAGGGCAGTGGTCTCTATCTGTGAAGCTGTAATAATCCTCTGGAGGCAGAAGAATTGGGTGCAGATTTGTCGATTCAAATTAGACTCGTCAATGTAAGAAGTACTTATGTGAAAAGTGTTACTCGACTTACAAAATATACAGTTAGGTATGGAAAAATTAATATCGCTCAGTAAGTTCAGTACAGTGCAGCCTTAAATACGATTGACGGACGTCACAGTCGAATGGAAACAGTTGAAATAGTAGTTTTGTATAATTTACCGGATATACATATATAGATTGGCATCGAGATTGGAAAAACATATTTTTTGTCATACTGTCGTCCCAAATCATGAATAAATATAATAGGAAGACAGATTTTAGAGCCGAAAACGTTTGGTTACGAAGTGATAAATATCAAAATAGAAATGCATACCATTTTCACTTTCATACTAAGATTTTGATCGTCATCTTTCGGCATGATTGGCCAGAAAAAAATCCTTTTAAACCTAATTATTATTCTATTACATTGTATTCTATTGTATTATTCTTCCACTAAATGTCATAGCATATTGTATAATATATTGTAATTGATAAGCGTTAAGTAAACGGTCACATATACAATATGCAAATATATTAAAATACGTTTGACTAAATTGCCATTGCTAAAATGAAATACAGTCACTGCAAATTGATATTTTGCTAATACTTAGGTATCTTTGGACATATTTAAAGATATTACAATAAAAATATTTAGTGTGGCCCATGGTGGTTGACACCTATGCAAAAAGTCACTTCACACAATAATAAAGGGGCCCCGGTTGGTCCGAAACAAGACATATTATTTATAATATAATTTATTTGCGTATCGTTGTTTTCGCGACCGTTTGTCTAACATAAAAGCTAATAATATGTTTGTATATGTACCTTAAAGGTGGTTGTCCATCCGTGACGAGCCTGAATAGCGGTGAGTGTGGATCCACCTGCAGCGATCTGACGAACTCGTCGAACTGAAACATAGACAATACCATTACAAACTTTTTCGATTCGTAGAGACAGAAGAGACAAATGAGGTATGAATGACTACTTCTAATCATTAAACCGACCGTGTCAAAAAGGTGGTTCTCACATTGTTCTAAGCCACGAGACAGTGCGCGGGACGACTGCAAAATAATGCATGATAATAGCGATTAACGTATGATTGCCACTAAATTACAGCTATACGCTTACATCACTGTGTCCTATGATTTTTTTGTTAAATAAAATTATTCTATACAATCTTAAAGAACCCCGCCTGTGAAACGTTGTGTTGTTTTAAATTTTGAATGTTTTGAATTAGAACTAACTGATTAAGAAGTACCGAGTAGGTATATCTTTACGAGGCGAGGGCAAAAACCTGGGTAGTCAGGAAGGTTCTGAAAACCAGGTTCATTGGTTAATGAATTTAAGAAAATATACTAGATGGTTAACTTCTCAGGTAAATTTAACTACTTTGTTTGTAATATTCATTATGGCTAGTCGCTTTATTATAAGTAACGCCATCTTAGTCTTTTTTCCTACCTCATAAAAAACAAGTTTTATTATAACAAAATTGTTTTTTTTTCTGGTAATCGTGCGATATGATGGTGTCAAATCGTGACATATAAATTAAAACGATTAAGTTCTAAGTCAAGATTAGCTATATCAGAAGGACAAACAGAAATATTCAGATAAATAACCAATTATACAAACCCACAGTTATTATCAATGGTTAGTGGGTATTAAAGCTTTGGGACGAGAGAAAAAATATGCCTAATTGATGAAAATAACATACCTATTCATGAATGTCTCATACTTAGGGTGTGAACACACACATGATTGTTGTTATTGGCAAAAAAATGTGTGAAAACGCATTCTTCTTTGATCACATTACTTATTGTCATTGCAGTGTCTTGAAAAACTTAACAGTAGGTAAAATTCATAACTCGACACATCTAATACAAGCTTGTCTGATTCGAAATTAGGCAGAGCTATGTGCTATGGTAACCAGACTGCTAATAAACATACTCATATATTTCTAAATTTATACAAATTATTAATATACTACATACATCCAGATGTAGAAAAAAAAAAACCTGGGAGGAAATCGATCCTGCGACCTGTGGCTGACTCCTAGTCAGGATCACACTAGGACACAATGGACATTCAAAACTAAGAATACACATTCTTAGAATTCTTTGCCTGGGCTTAAATAGATGACTTTGAGGCTAAAATGTAACATAACTTCGTCGGTAGAATTATTCGAATTCAAAACTATGTAGCTGCTATTCGAAAATTATAAATATTAAATGATCTGAGAACTTGATACCTTAAAAAAATATTCCACATTTTTTAAAAACTATAATCTGAACATAAAACTGAAGAATCATCGTTTAAATATATTTTTTGGATGTAGATGTGCAACTACCTTTATCCCTGCAGTAAGGTCGCCATTTTTTTAAACCACAGATACATAATGACAAAATAAACATCGCATCGATTTGTGAATATTATCGAATGCGTTGCTATTCAACACCAAGGCCACAACTACCGAAGGTGCCCTAATAATTGGCAAGGCGTTCTCGGTGTAAACATAAATAATTATGTTTGTTTTGATATAAAATATAATTTACAATTTTTCATGTTAAAAAACACTCGGACAAGAAAAATATGTACTACACACGGATGAAGTCTTATAATTATAATTGGCAATACGTCCTTGTTTGAAGTAAATATGATTAAATTTATTTTAACATAAAATAAAGCCTTGCTATCAAGATATCTCGTGTTAACCTTAAGATTCTGACGTTGAGTTAATACAACGATATATCAAATAAATCATCCACACGAACTTTTGCCAACTTCATTTGTCATTATCTCTGCCCAAATGATTACATATTTGGCTTTACATTAATAATTATTTATTTGATACACAAAAGTGGGCTAGCTCGATCGGAGTGATACAAGGCCTCAGAGATAACCGTTGCTAAGCAATTTATTCGAAGCTGTTCACTAAGTTAGTGAAGTCACCAGCGACCAATTGCTCTACCCTGCAGTTTATCATATATATTACCCTATTCTTTAAGGAAAAGCCTTGCGTACAGCGCTGCCACAGCGTCGAACTTCTAAGTTCGTTTGAAATTCGACGATACAGCGCTGTCACAGCGCAGTACGTAAGCGCTTACCAGCGCCTCATGACGCCCTAAGTGTGGCCGCGGGTGGACGGGCGGGTTATCCACCCGCCATTACGGCCAGCCGCGAGGAGGCGACGTCCGCGTGTAAAGCCTAAATAGAAAATGTAGCCGAAGGTGGCCAAAAAAATTTCTACATTCTGATATAAATATCTATATATACTTAAAACACGGCATTCGAGATTCTCTCTGAGGTTTCCGTAGTAGAGTACCGTATGTTTCTTGGTACGGTACCATAGATTCCTATCCAACAAAAACTAGTTGTAATCAATACTTGAACATATTTGTACATCACTTGCTGGAAGGGTCCAAGTACTTTGTTACTTAGAATAGAGGATCAAGCCCTTGCCACAAAGCTAGTGTGAAACAAAGAAAATTAAATAAACCTTTCACATTGAACAAATACTTACAACATTTTCATAACTGGTTAATGAGAAATCTGACAATATGTAAAAGTTTGACTACGTTATGTAACGTTAATTGAAATCATTATTACATATATACTAGCCGACCCGGCAAAGGTGGTTTTGCCAAAAAAAAAATTTAGGGGTGGGGGTCACCCTTATCATTATTGCACAATAATGCACATGATATGCACACAAAATTTCATAAAAATCGGTTAAGCCATTTCGGAAGAGTTTGGTAACAAACACCGCGATACGAGAATTTTATATATTAGAAGAGGGATATTTATAGCAGAATTACGAAAAAATACTATTTATAAGTGAATAGACGCTATAATGGACAATTCTACCATGATACACTCATATCGCATGTTCATACAACATCATTTTCAGTTGGCTAATTAAGCTTAAAGTTTTTTAACTGAAATGTCTGTTTGTTAAATATAGTAGTTATAATCTTAATGTCTAAAATTCAATGTATTTTTGTTGGTGTTTATGCGCAGCAGTAAGTACTTGCCGTTAATGCGATTTTCATGACATTTTACAAAAGCAATTGCCAAGGATACTGATAAAGACATAAGGTACTTTTCATGATGAAGCAGGGTTAAACAAACACTGTAGAAGTGGTACTGGTTCTTAATGTGTTAAGTCACTCGAGCAAACAATAATTCTCGCATGTTTGAATTGTATCTGGCACCTACAGGACAGTGCTTAATGTGGGTGTGCCTACACTACAGTAAAACGCACAATGTTGTATGAACTATATTTGGCAATAAACGATTTTTTATTGATAAAAAGAATATTATTTCTCAGGGATTGTATAATTAGTTTTATTAGACCCAATCCGTTGGGAAAAGCTATTATTGCCCGCTGTTCTTCGCCGATGCGTTTATGGTCACTGTGCTACTTTTAAGGGTCCTTGCGTGACGTTACCTACATAATCTATAACATTTCTCAATGGATACTCTATTGAACTATTAAACCATCAAGCTTTATTATTCTATTTTTTTTTTAATTTTCTATTTATTTGGAATATATATTTATTCATACTTCCAAACAAAAACCCAGGTCTCTAATTGACAGGAAATCGTCCCTACAATCAAAAAAGGAAAGTCTCGCCAAAGAGCCGGTACCTAGTAATTAGGTTTGTTTTTGGCAGTCGACTGACAGGTATGTTGCCGGGCGTCGAACCCGCTCCGATACAGTTAGGAACCTGTTACCAAGCACTGCTTACATTGTGAGAAGTGGGACCGATGCGTTTCCGCAGTGAGCTTTTTAAACGGCCACCTACTAAGTTTATACGAATAAATATGTTAAGTGTGGGATTTTTATAACAATATTTTTGGATTCGTTATTGCTTTTTCTATGCTAATATTATGTACATATATTATATGTTATATACTTAATTCCTTTGATATGTATTTTTTTAAATATACAATAGTTGTACACATTTTGGTTGCATTGATGAGAAATGAGAAACAATAACTGACACAAAAACAGATAAAAACAATCTCTGAAGCGGATTGTATATCGTGTCAAAATTAGAGCTCAATTCGTGCAAAACTTTTTGAGTTTTTGAAAGTACACTAACCAACTTAACATTATAAATATTTATTTGTTGTTTGTTAAACGGGTTAATCTCTGAGCTACAAATAGAATTTTAAGAAATCCGTTTACAGTTTTAGTAGTTTTCTTGAGGCAGGTATTTACGACCAACTATCAAGCTGTAATCCTTAGGAGCGGAACAGCGACCCCAAATTGTAATGTTTGCGGGTTAATAACGAATACACGTATGGAACATTCAAGTATTTAATTCCGACTGCACATACAATAAGGTTTGCCCGATACCCACGTTTATACCATATATACGGTATCTAAGACTTGTAACTACTTAATACAATTACCCTACATTAGGTGAAACTGTCGAGTATAATAGTGAAAAAAATAAGCATTACTTTTTGTAAATAATAAATATTATTTTACAGTACACCCAGGCCATAATTATCATATCACAACATAACAATACACATAGTATAAAATATAGTAGATTTTTGTGCTGTACAGCAGCAGCAGCAGTCTGGCTACCGTGGTACAGGCTCTACCTAAAAAAAATTATAGTTTTAAAAATCTAAAAAACACGCTTTCTATAGAAGACCAAACTAAAAAATAGAAAATAAATTTAAAAAAAGCGTTGGGTGCCTGTTTTCAATAGTAAAAAGCACCCCGTGTTTTTTAGTTTTTTAAAACTATATATATTTTTTTTTAATTAGTGTATTGTCATCGGTAGGTACTCGATATATCTACAAAGTTTGAACGAATTCTAACCGTTTAAATTCAGTCAAAATCACGACCAATGGAGTCGGTTACAAACATACAAACAAACATACAAGTGAAGCT